TGCACAACCAGCACTCCTCAAGTTTCAGAACTTACGTTCTGGAACACTTTCATGACCCTTAAGTAGAGCCTTGTGCTCACCAACAGCTGCTCCCTCCATCTTTACCTGTGTCTTCATGCCTCGTTTCTTTCGTTCAGTATAACATTTTTTCGCTACTGTCTGTATTGTGGCATTTGCTCTTTCTCGTGACAAATATTCTGTGATATGGAAATACCACACTCATTTGACCATCCGTTAGTTGATGGACATTTGGGTTGTTTCTGGTTTCCTGGCTTCGTTTCCTACGAAAATGTAACTGTTAACACATTGCACAAATGTTTCTGACTGAATGTTTTCATCCCCGTGGATATGTAAGCATGAATAGGATTGTCCAGGGTCAACTGTTGACAACTGTTGACCCCATCAGAATGTAGTTTTCCTCAGTGACGACCTGCTTTATATCCACTCAACAACTAAAGCTCCTGCTTTTCACACCCTTCTTTTTTTAATTTAAATTTATTTTTTTATAATTTATTCACTTTAAATCCCAATCGTAGCCCCCTCTCTTGTCTCCTCCAGGTTCCTTCCTCCATCCAACCTTCCCTTTCTCCTTCCCTTCTTCCCTGTCTTTCCTTCATCTTTCTCCCTTAGTCTTCAGAAAGGGAGAATCCTCCTCCCCCACCATTTGACCCCAGCCTATCAAGTCCCATTAGGACTGCCTGCATCCTCTTCCTCTGTGGCCTAGGAAGCCCTTCCACCCCACCCCAACCCCCCACCACCAGGGTGAAGTGATCAAAGAGGAGGCAACAGAGTCCATGTTAGAGACAACCCCTGCTCTCCTTACTAGAGAAACCACATGAAGACTGAGCTGCCTATTGGCTACATCTGAGCAGGGGGCCTAAGTCCTCTTCATGCATGGTCCTTGGTTGGTGCATCAATCTTTGCAGGGCCCCATGAGCCCAGATTTGTTGGCTCAGCTGGTCTTCTTATAGAGCTTCTATTCACTCTGGTCCTATGTCCCCACTCTTTCCCATGACTCCTTATGCTCTGCCCAAAGTTTGGTTGTGAGTCTCAGCATCTGCTTTGATCCCCTGCTGGGTGGAGTCTTTCCGAGTCTTTTATGGAGTCTTTTATGGTAGGCTCCCAACCTGTTCCCTCTCTTCAACAGCTTCTGGTGTCTATTCTATTTGCCCTTCTGAATGAGAATTAAGCATCTTCCCCATGATCCATTTGTTATTCAGCTTCTTTAGGTCTGTTTCCACACCCTTCTTAGAATGGTATTATTTTTCTAAAATTTGAAATTACATTTTTATTTTATTTTTTCTGAGTGGGTGTATTTGTGCATGGTGGCAGGCACTTGGCGTAGCCATGTAAACATCAGAGGACAATTTTTGGGAGCCGGTTCTTTTCTTCTGCCATGTGGATCCTGGGGTTCGAACTCAGGTTGTCAACTTGGTAACAGGCACCTTTACCAACTAAGGCATCACCAGCTCTATTTCCTGGAAGCAATTTTAAACGATGTCTGTCTATCCTAGTTCATTTTTCTGTTGCTGTGGTAAACACCAACAATGACCAAGAGCAACTTGGGGAAGAAAGGGTTTGTTTCCTCTTACTGGCCCCAGTCCATCGTCAAGAAATCTAAGGCCGGAAAACAACTCAAGCAAGGCAGGAAACATGAAACAGAAACCTTGGAGAATGCTGCTTACTGGCTTGCGGCAAGGTTCGTGTTCAGCTACCTTTCTTATACGGCTGAACCCGCCTGCCGAGGGATGGTTCTGCCCACAGTGGGATGAACCTTCCTATATCAATTGTCAGTCAGGGAAACGACCCACAGACACAGCCACAGGCCAAGTGGATCAAGGTGATTCCTCAGTGGAAATTTCTTCTTCCCAGGTGTATCAAGTTGACAACCAAGATGAGCTATCACGCTATCCTAAGAAGTTTGAAATGGTATCGTGCTGTAGTGTTGACTGTGGCTTCTCTTAATTTTATTGTTGTTTGTGTGTGTGAATGTGGTACACGCATGTGCGCACAGGTGGACATGTGCAGGTGTATGCACCCGTACATACACAGGCCAGTGTCAATGTCAGATGTCTTCCTGTTCATCTTCATCCTAAATTTTGACACAGAATCTCTTTCTGAGCCGAAAGCTGGCTAGAAAAAAAAGAGGATAAAGCAAAAACAAAACAACAGCAACAAAATCCCAAACCAAAAACCATAACCACCACCACCACCACCAAGTAGCAAATAGGAATTCACCTGTTTTCATCTTCTGCTACCATTGGGGTTACAGACATCGGCTGCTGCATGTGACTTTTACGTCGGTGCTGGGATCTGAACTCAGGTCTCCATGCTTGAGCAGAAATTTATTTATTCACCAAACCATCCCGCCAGCACTGGCCAGCATTCTACTTTTAATGATGCGATGCTGTCAATTCCTCCGTGCCGTTTAGACACCTTTAAATTATCTTTGAAGAAACATTTATTTAGATCTTTTGATTCATTTTAAAGATAATTTTCTACTTTTGCTTGTCTTTGTGTTGTTATGATACAAGAGTTATGTATATATCCTGGCTTCTATTTTCTTATAAAACCCTGTTAGGTTGGGTTTCCCATTTGGATGGAGCCTTCACTGTCTTAAGAGAGTCACTGGATGCATACAGACTGTTCATTTTGGGGTCCGTTTCTTTATTGCTCTTGGAGTCGCAGCTAATCTTCAGTCATGGAGGTCCATACTTGTGCTCATCCTTACTGCTGAAGTTGTTGGACCTAGGTTCCTGGATTCTGCCATAGTTATCTTTCAGTTACTGTGATGAAGTACCATGACAAAGGCAACTGACAGAAAGAGTTTATTGGAGACTTACACTATCCTTCATAAAATCATGGCAGGGAAAATAGCAGGCAGGCAAGCGTGGCCCTGGAGTAGCACGTGAGAGCTTACATCTTATCCAAATACAGGAAGCAGAGGGAGAGAGAGACAGACAGAGATGGAGAGAAAGAGAGACAGACAGACAGGCAGAGCGGAAGAGATAGTGCCTGTAGTGTCTATAGTGATACACCTCCAATAAGGCCATGCCTCCTAAACCTTCCCAAAGAACTAGGGATCAAACATTCGAATATATGAACCCATGGGAAGCATTCTCACTCAAACCATCACATCCTACTACCTGCTTCTTTTAAGGGTGTGGCCATATCAAAATGCAAAATGCATTTAGTCCAACTTCAAACATTCTTACAGTCTTTCACAGTCTCAACACAGTTTAAAAGTTTAGAGTCTCAGAAGAGACTCATTCTCTTAATTGTCCCCTGTTAAGTAAAAAAAAAAAAAAAAAAAAAAAAAAAAGCAAATTACATACTTCTAACATGCAATGGCACGAAATATATATTACCATTCCAAAAGGGAGGAATTAGGGCATAGTGAGGAAATACTGGACCAAAGCAAGACTGAAACCCAGTAGGACAAATTCCAAATCCTATAGCTCCTTGTCTGACGTCAAAGGACTTAGATAGCTCCACCATTCCTGCTTTGCTGACGGTAGTTCACTTCCCAGTCTTGCCAGTGTCAATGTTAGCTGTCTTCCCGTTCATCTTCATCCTAATTTTTGACATAGGGTCTCTTTCTGAAGCAATCTCTCAAGCCTTTTCCTTTCACAAGTTATAGGATTAGGTGGGTTGGGTCTTGCCTTGAGGACACCATTCCTTTTATTCCGTTTCTTTTTATCTTTTTTAGCACAAACCATTGGCTCCAACATGGCATTTCCTGGTGCTCCCTTTCTCCTGGTGTTGAACATTTTGTATTTCTTTTGATCCACTTGCTCTTTTTCATTGTATATCTGCATAAGAGTTCTCACTAGTACCCACAAGACTTAATCAATATTAGGCTGCCTTGAAATCTCCTTTGCCAAAGAAATCAGTCCTAAACTCTACAATTTAGCCTGAGGCATGTTACCAGGACAAAAAAAGGAACAGGACAGGAGCCTACCATAGATGTCTACCCAGCAGGGCGTCAAAGCAGATGCTGAGACTCACAGCCAAACTTTGGATGTACCAACCAAGGACCATCCATGGAGAGGACCTGGCCCCCTGCTCAAATGTAGCTAACAGGCATCTCAGTAGGTTCCCCAGAAAGAGTAGCAGGGCTGTCTTTCACATGCATAGTGTTGTCTGCTCTTTGATCACTTCCGCCTGGTGGCACAGCCTTACCAGGCCACAGAGGAAAGGATGCAGCCAGTGGGGTGACTGGCAAGGGAGGAGGGCTCCCCCTTTCTGAGGGCTAGGGAGTGGGGATGGGGGGAGAGAGGGGTGGGCCTGGGAAGAGATGAAGGAGGGAGCTACAGTCAGGTTGTAAGGTGAATAAATTATATATTTAAAAAAAATCCCTAGGACAGAGCAAAAAGCAGCCACATTCTTTTTTAAAAATTAATTAATTTATTTATTCAGTTTATATCTCAATTGTAGCCCTCTCACTCCTCTCCTCTGGGTCCCACCCTCCCTCTTCTATCCCGCTTTCCCTAACCCCCAGAAAAGGATATCCCCACCAGCAACCCACAGCAGCACATCAAGTCACACCTGGACTGAGCGCATCCTCTTCACGAGTGGCCTGGCAAGGCAGCCCTGCCAGGAGAAAGAGCTCAAAAAGCAAAACAGCTTTTCTTTTTTCTTTCTCTTCCCCCCTGTCTCTCTTTGTATGTGGATGTAATATAAACTATCAAAAGAATTGTCTCTAGCCTATTGCTCATATAGTCTCCCTCTGAAACGTCTTGAGCTGGGTACATAGTTCATTTCTCTAAGTACTATTGTCTTCCAATCTCCTATTAAGATTATAAATTCCCATTTTCAGTATTCAACTCCTTTTCTAGTTGAAAGTTCCAGACTCTTCCACATTCTTCCAAAAAAAAAAAAAAAAAACAGTTTGGTCAAGCCTGTCAGAGCAATACCTTAGTCCTGATGCTAACTTACGCTTTCATTATTTTTCAGTCGCTGTGACAATACATGGTGGCCAAGGTTTGTTGGGTACTTACAGTTGCAGAGAGTGAGTCTATGACTATCATGGTGGAGAGGGTGGTGAGAACATCGTCACAGGGAGGCAGGCATGGTGCTAGAACAGGAACTGCTGAGAGCTTCCATCTTGTCTGGAAAAAGAATGGGGGGAGAGAGAGATAAGGAGGGGTTGTGGGCTCTTGAAACCTCAGTGCTCAGCCTCAGTGACGTACCATCTTCAACCCTTCCCAAATAGTTTCACCAACCCTGGACCAAGCATTCAAATACATGAATCTAAGGGGAACCATTGTTAGTCAAACCTCCACAGATGCCTTTGAATTTAATATTTGAATATCATAATGGTAGTGTTACAAAGTCATTCTTTTGTATGTGGATATCTAGCTCTTATCCCTGGTTAAAAGAATGTTTTGTTTTGCTTTGTTTTTCTTTAAATGATTATGACACCTTTATCAAAATCAGTTGACCATAAACACATAGGTTCATTTCTAGACTCCAAATTTTATCAGTTAATCTGTATATCAGCTTTTGCCCCAGGACTACACAGTCTTAATTACTGTAAAGTTTTTAGAACTTTTTTTTTCAAAAAATTATTTTTAATACTCAAAGTCTCTCAACATTCCACATGAACTTTATTCAACATATTCAATTGTTTTTTTTTTTTTTATAAAAAAAAAAGACAGTTGAACTTTTGATAGAGAGTACTCTGAATCTGTATGAGGGGATGTCTATCTTACTAATGTTAAATCTTTCAGTACATCCTCTTGAATTATTTAGTTTTTAAATATTTTTCGAGCAAAATATACTTTTCGGTACATGAAATTTGTGAGTTTGCATTTCTTTTTTAAAGATTTATTTTTTTCAATTATGTGTATGCATGTGTGTGTTTATAGGTGTGGTGGTTTGAAAAAGAATGGCCCTCATGGGCTCATAGATTGGAATGCTTGGTCACTAGGGAGTGGCACTATTTGAAAGGATTAGGAGGTGTGGTCTTGTTGAAGGAACTGTGTCATTAGGAGGGGATTTTAAGGTTTCAAAAGCCCATACCAAATCCAGAGCACCCCCCCCATGCCTATATCCAGATGTAGAAGTCTCAGTTACCTCTCCTGCACCAGGTCTGCCTGCATGCTGACGTGCTCCCTGTAATGTTGACAATGGACTAAACCTCTGAAAGTGTAAATAAGCCCCAATTAAACGCTTTCTTATATAGGAGTTGCTTTGGTCATGGTGTGTTTCGTTACAGCAGTAGAACACCTACTAATACAATATGTATATATCTGTGAGCATGAACACATGAAGTCCCCATGGAAGTCAGAAGAAGGTTCTAGCTCCCGTGAAGCTGAAGCTACAGGTGTTTGTGAGCCATCTGATATGGCTGCTGGGAACCAGTTAGGATCCTCTGGAAGAAAACTTTTAATTCTTCTCCACGCTGTCCTAAACAACTTTCAACTCAATGTCCTTCCTTCCTGTGTGTTTCTCTATCCATTCTCTGGACTTCCTCTCTATGGTTTTGTTTTTTCCCCCCATATTCACTTCCTATCACTCTGGTCTCTTACTCTGCTTCTTGACCTAGGGTTAACTTTATTTAATCCTTTTTACAGAAAGCTTTCGAATTAAAGATGTGTGCTAGGGCTGAGCCATTCCAAAAGTACTTATTTACAGTAAACAGAAAGCTCTAGGATCAAAGACTGAGGCAAAACACAATTAGAAACAGTTTTACATCTCACATTCTCAGGGCTCACAATAGGATCAAATATCCTGCAACACCGCAGTATTCAATACTATTAGCTAAGTTTATTCTTAAGTACTTTACTGCTTCTTATACTGTTATACATGGAATTGCTAATTTCACCCTTTGTTCATTTTTAGTGTATAGAAATATACTGTTTTAATATATTGATCTCATTTCCTACAAATGTACACAACTTATACATTAATATTTTCTGTGTCTTCTTTGACTTTTTTTTATCTATGTAAAAAATCACACAATCTACAAAGAGAGATACTTTTTACATCTTCTGTTCCAGTCTCGTGTTTTGATCTCCTTTATCAATTGTCAGGACTAGAGCCTCTAGCCAATGTTGAACAGAGGGGTGGGAATGTATTCCCTGCTCTGTGTTGACAATAACAGTGCAAATCCCACTATCATGGATCCTGTTAGATGGCAGCTTTTTATGGGTGGCCTTGTGAGGTTATAGATGTTGCTTTCTAGTCTCGGTTTGATGCAGATATTCACTGTAGAAAGGTCTTGGATGTTATGGAATTCTTTTAGCATCAGTTTAGATAAACATGTGAGTTCCACCTTTCACAGTGTGTTGGGCATTACATTGGGTGATACTGATATAGCAGGTCAGTGTTGCATAAATCCTACATGACCATAGCATATTATGTTTTTCCATTTTGCTAATTCAATGTTGTTGTGGTTTTTTTTAAATATTTTTGACTCTGTGTTCATAAGTGATATACCAGCTTAACATTATGTTTAGTTGATGTATTTGTCTTGTTTAGGTATCAGGGAATGCTGGCGTTCCAATTAATAAACTTCCTCTATCTTTTGGGAACAATTTGTGAGGGACTGGTCATTGTTTTTCTTTCAACATTCAATAGAATTCATGTCACACCACCCAGGGATAGGGTTAGGGTTACTAGGGTTTCTAGTTACTTAGGTTTATAATTACTAAGTCAGTATCCTCAGTTGTTACATTTAAGTTCTCATGCAATCTCTAGTTAGTTTTAGAATATGAGTTTCATCTGGGCTCCTGATATGTAGTATAGAATCCTCATATTCCTTTCCTACAATCCTTTTAAGAAATTACATCACTCCTTTTCTTGTAGTTTTTACTGTTTTTACCCCTCTGTTTCTTTAATTGTTCACTCTAGTTAGTAGCTGGTGGTACTTGTTGATAAATTTGGTTTTGTTGATTTTTTTTCTACGGAATCCCTGTTTGGCTTATTTGTACTTTAATGTTCATTATTTCCCTCTGCTGGCTTTGGGTTTCCTTTTTTTCTCCATTTCTTAGGATGCAAGCCTAGTTTGTTGATCTGAGATCTTTTGTGTTAGGTTTTCTTGTGAGATCTATATTGCCTCCTTCAGATTGGTCCTCTGCACGTATGCTTTGTTCATTTAATGGACTCTCAGCTTCCATTTGGATTGTTTGTTTGTTTTTTCCAAAGCCGTTAGTAATTTAGCATTGTCTTTAGTTTCCATTGTCTTTACTCTCCCTATTTTTCTTTTGTTTCTTACTTCTAGTTTCATTTCACTGAGATTATAGCAAACATCTTGGTTGATTTCTCTCCTTTTGAAAATGTATTGAGACTTATTTTTATTTACATTCTTAACATAAATTGTGTCCTTGAGAATGTGCTCTGTCATATGAGAAGGTAGCCAAGTCTGCTGTTGTTGTCTGCAGTGTCGTAGTTACACCTTCTGGCTCCTCACATACCTTATATCTAGTTGTTCTGGGCATGACTGAGAGTGGGTCATTGAAGTCTCCAATTATTTCTAATTGATTTTTAAATGTTTTCCTTCAGCTCTGTTATGCTTGCTTTGAGTTAGATGCTTTGAAGCTCTGTTGTTAGGTGTTTTTATATTTAAAATTGCTATATGTTCTTGGTTGATTGGTTCTTTTATCATCATATGATATCATACTTTGTATCCAGTAACAATAAAAAATCTCTTTTATCTGATAGCTTAGCTATTCTCCCTCTCTTTTATTTACCATTTGCACGTCTTTTGTAGGCAACTGTAACCCGTTACTTTTTGAATACTAAGTGTGTTTGATTAATGTGTTCGATATATATATATATATATACACACACACACATATACACACACACACACACACACACATATATATATATATATATATATATATATATATATGTACACACACACACTCATATATATTTAACCCTTTGCACCAGGAGACAGGTAGATTGACATAAGGGCACTCTGCATACTAGGCAAGTGTACTACCATCGAGACAGCTGAATCATTTTAAATTTTCCTAATAGTCTAATGGAAATAGTTTCTAATAGTTTTTTTTTGACTGGAGAGCCTGATTCACTTATTTCATACAAATAGTAAAAATACAGGATTTATAAGTCTATCTTCTATTTATTTTCTTTCTCCACAAATTTTTTACTTCTGCTTTCTTTACTGTTCTAAAGTTTTAGTGTACCACTTATTATTTTTTTTTCCTTTTTACATGGAATTTTGAATTCTTTTCTCAAAGAGTGCCCTGAAGATTGCCATTAATACCTTAACTTATAAAAATTGATTAAATTTTAATACCCACCTGATATTAGTTGCACATAAGATCTTGCTCTCATATGGGTCTTTTTCCTTCTTTTTTCCATAAATTATATCTTCATACATTGTTTTCCCATGCTTAGATTTTTACAATTATTGCATTGTGGAGTTGTTGTATTTAAGTCACATTGAACAAGAATTTTATTTTATTTTGTTTGTTTATTTTTATTTGTATATTAGTTTATTTTTTTAAGGCAGGGCTTCTCTGTGCTGACCTGGCTGTCCTAGAATTCTCTCTTTAGACCAGGCTGGCCTCAAACTCACAGAGATCCACCTACCTCTGCCTTCCAAGTGCTGGGATTAAAGGCATGCACTGCCACTGCCTGGCTGAACAAAAATTTTAAACAACAAAATGTTTATACTCTTCTTTTTGTTTATTTATGTAATCACCTCTCTTGTGTCCTGTTTACTGAGGTTGAAGTAACTGATTTTCTTTTAATTAAGCTGGAAGGACAGCTTATAGTATTTCTTATAGGGTATGTACATCTATTAGCAAAAAGTTCTGATGTTTTCATTTACTTTATATCATAGATTTAAAATTTGCCATAATTTTCATTTTCTTTATGAATGACAATTTTGCCAGATTAAAAAACAAAACAAAAACACTTGGTGGACAGGTTTTTGTTTTTTGTTTTTTTTTCTTCTTCTTCTTTCTTTCGGAACTTTGAAAATGTCTTTCTGATGCTTTCTGACCCTCATGATTCCTGATAAGAAACCACCTATTAATCTTATTTGGGATTCTTTGTACGTGATTAATAGCTTCTCTCTGCTTTCAAGAGCCTCTCTTTGTCTTTGAATTTTGACAGCTTGACTCTGATATGT